TTTTCCTTTTACACTCACTTAAGGAAATCTCAAATACATTAAAAAATCCCATAAAATATTATAGCCATTTTTATTCTGTTCAGATTTGCAACACAAACTATGTCCTGTGCAAGAAGGTAAGAAAAGCAAACTTTTGCCTTTTCACCTGCTTTGAAGGCTTAAAGCCAACGTGCACACACTGTGTTCATCTGCCCTCCTGCAACTGTGCCAGAGCCAGCTTCGCACATGACGCAAGGGAACATTAAGATCAATAAACTGTGATTACAAAAAGCTGTCTGGATTTACAACCACCATAAAAAGATGGCTTCAGCATTTCCCATTATAAGGTGACAGCATGCTCAATGAAAACTGTATCGATAAAATGTTTGTCTCATTTCTGATTTGACTTTTCCAACACTCAGAACTGCTTCAGTAGATAAAGTGGAAGAACAAGGAGGGAGAGAGGAAAGAAGTGTTAGAGAATGAACACAATTTTCCATATTGCTAAGAAGAATATCTATATATTTTATAGAGAGAGAGAGATAAAAACTTTTGGGAGCATTGACTTTTATTTTCCTATGGCAACTTCTAACCATCACAGGCATATAATGAATATCTGAACATTAAGAATTTATGTGTGCTGCCTTAGATGAGCATAATTCTCAACTATTATTAATGAGGAACTACAAAACACACTTCAAGTTTTATGCCTAAATTACATGAAGTTTCCAAAACCCATAAATACATCTGTCTATTGGTATCTACAGAGAATTACATAACACACTTTTATAACGCAGCCACTGAGGCAGTGGAGCTCATTCCATTTGAGAAAAGATCTTACAAGGAAAACTTTCTACAGAGTAACTCTTCCTCTGCTCTGTTTTCTAAAATATTTATAGATGCCTCCAGTCTAGTCGGGAAATGGAGAAAAAAAAGCATAAAAATCGGCATCATTATTTACAGTGTAGCTTGATCTTAATTTTCAATCTCCCCATTCATTTGTTAAGAATGAATTGAGCTTTACAATAGTAAAAGAGATTATAGTTTTGTCTTTACTTCCTCATTCATCACATTTCTTTATAGCTACAGTGGAGTGATTTACTAATTTTCACTTCTGGGCACACTCTAGTTTTCATATCACAAATTACAGCTTCAGTCTCAGATGATATACAGCAATATTGACAGTTTTATTTGTGGTGAAGGGACTTGGCAAAATTCCATTTTTGTCAGGCTGGAAATAAGAGTAGCACAGGCTGTTTGGACCAGCAGAGCCAGCATGGCACAGAACTGACACAAGCTGTAAGGCCAACACACCTGGACAACATCAGTACAAGCACATAATGGCACAACACCAGCTATTATTTCTCAAGCCAGGTTCTATCACCCAACCACAACAGTACATGAAGTTCCCTGCAACCTTCAGGAACAGGGCTTTACGAGTCCCCTTCTAGGGGCTCAGAGACGACAGCAGCATCTAAAAATTGCCAAATGGCACTAAGATCAAAAGTGAACTAGGTGCCAGTGACTGCAAGCAAGAAATACACGTAAAGTTAAATGTAAAATGTAACGCTAAATGGAAAATTAAAAAGCAAGGTTATTATTTTTTTCATAGCCAAAACATGAAGGTTTTTAACCACATTACTTATTTTTCAGTTAGCTAAAGGCATTTTTCCTTGAAAAAAAAAAAAAAAAAAGTAGTCTAAACCCAATTAAATAAAAGTTCAAGCTGCTGTGGTCTTTGGCTAGCAAGCAGTGTGGGAGCAAGTAGGTAGTGCAAATGAAAGTGCAAGTAGCAAGTGAGAGCTTAATAAGTTCCTAAATTATGTGAATGAGCTGCAGCAGCTTGCAAAATGAGTCAGCAGAGGCAATTAGAGCAGCAGGGCAAGGGGAAATGCAGAGGAACAGAATAAAGCAGCAACAACATTCCCAGTGGAAAATTGTTTCAGCAAACAACAGAAGAAAGGTCTGACTTTCAGAAGATGGAATAAAGATCCCCACATGCGAGGAAGCATGATTTGATGGGGGCTCTCCCTTCAAACTCATGCCCCGTTCTCATGTGAGCTGCAGCACACAGAAAGCTCCTGGTTTCTGTGATCGTGGCAATCTCTGTCTGAGGAAACTGAGAGCATTTCTGGAAAATTCAGATGTTTGGCTGTGAAATTGACAGGTTGCCTTATTAAAAAAAAAAAAAAAAAAATTTTCCTTCTCATATGGGAAACACAGAGTAATTTCTTGAGGTTTTAATAATTTTCTCCCTTTACAGTTGTGGCAGATAGAGCAGCTTGAGTGTACTCTGTTTTGCTAAATAAACCGATACACTCTCAGTGAAAAAAAAGTTCAGCTAATGTCCACCAACATCCACGTTTCACCTCCTCCAGATTTCACTTGTTTAACAATTCCTAGAGAATCAGGACACTGTTTTTAAGTCTAGCTGTCACACCAACCAAATTCAGCTCCTCTCTTTCTCTGCAAGCATTCTCCTTGTCCTGAAATCTTAGTGATGCTTTCCTACATTAGCATCCCTTACCAGTGCATTCTGCCTTTCTCAGACACGTTTCCAGCTGAGATGAATGAAATCAAGGAAGAGCACAGTGCCTGCACACACAACAGGCTGTCTGCAACTGAATCATGTTTATACTAACGTAATCACACCTGTTCCGTGAAGTTTCTAATGAACAAGAGCAGATAACAGTTGCAAGATATGGCCCAAATACTTGCCTCAGTGCTTGCCAGGCATTGCATTCCCACATAGTGGAGATGCCTGCAGTTGTTTTAGTGATGCCTACAACTGCTGTGCATGGCACCACTCACTCTGGGGTAGATTCGCTGCATTTGTTCCTTTAATGAAAGCTGCCTGTGATTCAGTCAGAGGGCGATGACTCGATTCATACATTTTAATTCACTCCCACCCAAGCCACACTTTGTCACAATGGATGTTTCACAACTGCAAAGCAGGAGCCTGGCTCCCAGCCTCACTTTCTTCACCACCAGCAGCACACCCTGTAGGGCAGCGGGCTCCAGTCAGCGCTCATCGTCCTATCTGTCAGGTTCTGGAAGCCACTTTAATGTGAAAAGAGGTGATAACAGTGCTCTGCTGTGATAAGAGGTGCTGTTGTCTAAATTGATACTGCACTTAAATTGAAGCCCTCATAGCAATACCCTGGGCAATGTTATTCGCATGCAAGCTAGAAAGGGGTTTCACCTCAGCCACTTCTGAAGCTGCTTCTCCCTGAAAGCAACATAAGGAGACAATTCAAAACTGACTTTAAATCAGATTATTTCTACTATTTGCCTGGCTATAAGAAAATTGCTCAGCTCTCAGTCTTGCTGTGCTTCCAACAGCTTTACCTTCCTGACTATTAAGCAGGCTAAAGGCACCTCCATGACAAGTAACCATCACTCTTAGTATGGGGGAAAAAAAGCTGCTTTTCTCCATGCCAGGGGGAATTCTGAGCAAAACATCCATGGAGCTCTCATCTCCTGCACTATTATCCTCTAAGGATTTATGTAGCAGTAAACATTACATTTATGTAAAAATTATGTTACAAAGACCATTTTCTCTTCAGTTTCTCTAGTTATCTAGAAATTCGGGACAATAGTCTAAATAAACGTGTCAGGGAAACCTCTCTTTAAAGGAGATTGTGCATATGTTTAAACTAGTGACTCATTGTGGTCATTTTCACCTCATACTTCATGCTCTAATCAATTTACTGCACCAGACAGAAAGAGAGCCTCATTTCTGCAGTCAATATCCATTTTTATGAGAGTTCATTATTTCATTCACACTCTGGCTTTTACAATTGCTTGGCTGAAACTTCTTATATCAGCCTCCTAGCAACTCCCTTTGCTTTACATCTTATGTTGCTTCTCTGCATAAAAACCAGTACCACATCTGTCTCACCTGAGCACTTAAGAGAAGCCAGTTACAACCACAACGTGCTTCCTGAACTCTGAGTTTCAGCTTCATAACTATTGGAGGCTACAATATTACCTGTAAACTGAATCTGGGCCACTGAATAGACTTGCTTTTCCTCATCATTTTTCTATTTCTGCAATACTGCAAGACTTTGCATGAGTATTTTCATGGCCACATACTTGAGTTTGCAAGACAATTCAAGGTTCCCAAAATTATAGGAACTCTTAATTAGCAGTTGTGATTTGGACACTTCTCTTTTGACAGGACTACGCTTCCAGATTTCATGGCTAGCTATAGAATAGGAGCTTAACTACACAAAGATCCAGGCGTGCAAGCCCTTGGTAAGCACATCTCTTAAGAAGGCAAGAGAGTATGTCTCAGAACAACTAGCCTGCAATCCCACACTGACACCAACAGCAAGTTAAAAGGCTAAATCTGACACAGAACCTACGGATATGTGGAGCCGCTTGGACAATCCAGCTGGAAGAGTAACACAAAGAGCACAACTGCAAAATCCATTAGCAGTACTGGGCCTTACAGCCTGAGAATGTCAAATAACAGCACTAGCTGCAGGCGCCCTGATGAAGAGCAGCAAGGACTGGTTGGTTTTTTAAACTAAATTTTGCTTTAAATTGCTACCGCTGTAAATCTCAAATAAGGACTCTATTTCCCCTCTGCACTCGTTATGTAGCAGCAACTCCTTAAGCCAAAGAAGTGGGACAAGTTCTCTCCTGTGTTATTTAATGGAATTCAGACTTAATGGAGTAGCATGAAGATGAATTGAATTCACAGACTACATAAAACAGGAATTATATTCCAGCCTCCAGCCACTACATTACTAAACCAGCAAAACTCTATCTTGACCTTTTATATTGGATTTACCTGGAAGAAAAGGCAAATAAAATTTATCCTGGAGCTTTGAAAACCTGCAGCCTGAAAGTAAAGTCTCTTTATTCCACAGGAGATTCTGCCAAACTCTTTCAGAAAGGTCAAGAGAACAATAAACTTATGTCCCATAGCCAGAAAGAATCTAAGAGACATCTCATGACTTGATGCTTCAAGGACAAACACGAGTGATCAGAAATGGTTCAGAAAAATACCCATCACACAGCAGAAACCCAAACAACTTAGAGATACAACTTAAGCAATGTAAAGCAACACCAGTGCCCCAGCTGTCAGTATATCAACTTTATGTCAATACCCGATTCAAAGCAAAACAGCACTTGGTGATACTTTGAGTAAACATTGGCAAGACTTATTATTGTGATGGATAGAGACTTATTTCTTTGACCTTGTCTTTATTCCTTGACATAAAAGTTGACAAAAAACAAGATGTATTTTAAAATGAAACAAAAGCCATACCAAAGCAAACTGAAATTCCTCTTCTGAACAGCATGATCCCCACTTGTGAGAAAACACCCAACTTACAGCAGATGTTGGTTTCATACTCCTGCTGTTGGGACACTCATCCTCTCTGTAGTCACAGTGACATCCTGATGAAACCAGATTTAAGCTACAGGTGCAGTAATAATCTAGCTGTATTTGTGTAAATGGCAGCACAATTCGCCTGCCCTACTGAAGAATAGTGATTGTAGTGTAAGAATTTACACAGCCTAAGAACATACACAGGGCATAAGTGCTGTGTCTCAGTGTTTATCTAACTGCACAACACAGACTCCCAGTCATTTCAACATGTTAGTGATATAGCATAAGACAAATGGCAAAAATGCACAACACTACCCATGTTTAAATGACAATGATCCCAAAACTCTGTTTGACTTTACCCTTGCCATTTTCCAGCCTGAAACTGGCAGTAAGGGGGAGCAGAACAGCACAAGTTCCAGATTAGCAACTGAGCAGCTCCCTTCCTCAGTGGTCTTGTGATTTAAGATGCACACAGAGCGGAGCACTTTTGAAGCAACTCTTTAATATTTTAAGACAGAATTCTTTATTCACGGAATGTGCAATAACTCCTTCCAAACTATATGCAAAAATAAACCCCAAAATTCTAATGAAGACATAGAGAAGAAAAAAAAAAAACAAAAAACCAGCACAGCAGTGTTCCAAAGAGAATACATAATTTACAAGTATAAAATTCAAGCACTCCCTTCCTATGCCTGGAGCTCTTTTAAAATATTAACAATTAAATCTCTTCGGTAAGTGTATGGGGTATACTTTATTCTGAACCAGTGCCTTGGGAAAAGGTTACCACTTGGGGCATATATTTTTGTCCCTTCTTTGCCCATCAGAGCACGAAGAATCCTGTTGCGGGACAGGATTTTGTCATAAAATTCCACTCCACCTTTGGCATAGTCTTTGGATACAGTAGCTGCATTTCTGTCAGCCTTGCAGTCCAGGTGATAGGTCATAGCATCATAAGAAATGTAATAGAGGATTAGTCCAGCGGCAGCAATTATGAGGTTACAGATGCTGCAAAGTACCCTGGGGCCAGAATACAGACCCAGAGCTATCTTTATACCTGTCCCACAGAGACACGTACCAGCTAAGCACATTGGAGCCACAGCTGCACTCGCTAACGGGCTGCCATTCTGCAAATACACAACTTCTCTGGCAAGTGCAAACTTCTGTGCTTCAAGTGAAAATGTCAGAGCTTCCTTCAAAGCAACACCTTCATTGCTTTCCCAGTCTACTTCCTTGCCACCAATCACAACAACATGATTGACTATTCCTCTTTTATCCTCAATTGTGCTATCAAAATTAGGAGGGATGCCCACCAAAGAACCTGAAGGCAGCCAGGGGATTCCAGCACTGACTGGGTGGAAGCCAGAAGCTGCAAAGGCTTGGCAGTTGGTGGACTTCACTGCAGTATCTTGAAGGACATCCTGAAAAACAGCACAGAGCCTCTGAGAAAGCTCAGCTGGCTGCCCATCTGACCAGCACTCATGCAACAGTTTGAACGTCTGCTTAGGAAATACATGATAGGAAAGGTTAGCGCCAAACAGTCCCACGCAAGAAGTAGCCAACAAGGTGATCTTGTGTTTCTTGAACCACACGGATGTCTTCCGCAGGAACTGCACTCCCATAGTCAAATTCTAACCTGTTTGTAACACAGAATCAGGAATTAAAGTGTGCTTAAAAAGGTCTTGCATCCCTGTAGCATTTTAAAAACAACGTAACAAGCAGCAGAGAACAATAACAGATGAAACAAATCTTCGTATGCATCAACAAAACACAGAATACTTCGACAGAGAAGGCAATACTCACTAATTTTGGGACCTCTGAACAACAAAGGATAACTGAAACAAAGAATTAACTTCTCCCTCTCCTCCAGTAAATCAATTCATTGTGGTAAGGCCAATAATAAAGCCACCACGCTTCCTCCTCTCCCCAGCAATCAATAGACATACTGTATTTACCCGATACACTACTCCTTGCCAGCAGTCCTACTGCTGCACTCCACTACGGCAGCAGTCTGCAGATATTAAGGCCAGAAAGAGACAATAATTAGATGAATCTACCCTAACTTCCTCCACCGTGTATTTCCAAGAATTTTATTTAGTTACCTCAAAATTAAACTCTGTAACTTGAGCTTAATTACAACATCCAAAATGGGATCATATCTTGATTCGAAAATTTCAGGAGACAGAACTTGCCTTTGGAGTTTCCTCTAATGGATAATCAACTTCAAAACACAATGAAAAAGAAAGTACGCCCTTCTTCTAGTTTTTCAGATTTCACCTGACAGGTTGTGGTTCCGTCTTACTTGCAAACAGCTATTTGCAAACACCAGCATCCTTCCTTTCAGGGGCAATTTAAAAAAAAAATTGTCTGAAATAATTTGTCTGACAAATAATTCATGCAATTCAGGGCAGAAACTGAGATAAAAACTGTTTGAGGGCAGATGGCTATGCTGTGACTATTCACATCAGCTGATAAATATAAAAACTTCCCAACCTGCCAGCTCCTTCAGTTCAAGAGTTCCACTTCCCTTGGGGAGTATCAGCTCCTTTTATGGACCAAGCCATATGATGGGTTAGAGCCTAGGAGAGCTCTAATCTCTTAAAAAAATCCCAGTGGCTACAGAATCCTCTCCTAAAATGATGCGACTGTAAAGTCATAACAGTTAATAAATGGTTAATTGCTGGTTAATCCAACCCTGCCTGCAGCAAGGGTGTGGAACTAGATGATTTTCAAGGACCCTTCCAACTTAAGCCATTCTATGATTCTATGAATTAGGTGCCTAAATCCAAAAGAGATCAATGACACTTGGGTGCCCGTTCCCATCTGCATTTTGCAGTGCTTCATCTCTCAGAGCCGTAACACATGTGCTGGGGAGAATCTTGCTGCAGCTGTTTCAGACACTGCTATTTCCAGCTGTCCTCATGGAAAGCCGAGGTAGCAAAAGGAAACTGTTTGGATGGAACTACTGAAGCCTCAGTGTAGAGTACCATCAAAGCTGGGTTTTGCTGAGCTGCTGGGCTTTGTACCACAGCAGCTGAAACTTTGCCATACACTCTTTCCTTCCACTCAGGCTGAGCAATACCCTCCCACAAAGGGCAAAGCAGACAACTGGGGGCTGTAACATCACAAACCAGCACTGTGCAATGTGCCGGGATACACCAGCCATGAGCAATGGCAAATGGGTATCAATCATAGGGGTGCAGAAAGGGATTAAATTAAAGGCGGCGTTTTAACGATAGGTTATTACACCTCCCTCCCATGAAGTCCTTTCTAACTAAATTCACCAGAAGAATCCTTGAACGTTTGTTTATACTGCACCTAACACTCACTGAGCGCTTAACAGCAACAACGATGCATGTAAGTATACAATCATTACATTTGCATTGCTCAGAATAATAACTAGTGGCATTCTAACAGAGGACTGGAGGTGCTGATTTGTTTGACAAAATTATTTAAGAAAAACACTCCAAAGTACTGAAAGCTTGGCTGGAAACCCACTTTTGGGAGAAAACATCCTTGGCAGCGGAGCCAAAAGCAGAAGATGGTAATATTAAACACAAAGGATTCCCTGGGAGTTAAAGACCTCTTGGCAAAGGCAGACTGGTAGGTGGATCTGATGGTAAGGCCATGCCGTTACAGGAAGGGCCAGCCCCAGCTGGATGAGACCCTACTGTTCTGCCATGCACCCAGCGTGACCAGCAGAAATCAGTAATCAATCAGGTCGTGGTGGTCAGCGTCCATGAAAAGAAAAGAGGAAGAAATACCCCCAGGAGCTGTCAGCACCCAGCCCCAGCTCAGAGCCCACACCATCACACCGCAGGCACGTGGTATTCTTAACCTTTGTGCAACTTACTGGTAAGGAAGGCAAGCAGGAGCCACGTGGTGATTTATACTGGAGCATACCCCGCAAACTCTGACTTAACTTACTGAATTCTGATGAAGCCACACCGCGATTTATAGGCCTGTCTCCCTCAAGAGCTGAAATACTCTTTGCCACTGCGTGCACGTACAGAAAAATTCGTGAAAGAACGAGGATCTCAGCTGCAAAAGCAGGGCCGGGGCTGGAGCCGGCCTAGAAGCTGTTCCCTCTCCCTCCCGCCCCGCAGAAGCCCGGTGACCGCTCCGCGCCCAGCTGCAGCGGGGGCCTGGGGCCGGCAGCCCGCCCCGACGGCAGCGAAGGGCGGCAGCGAAGAGCAGCATCGCCTCCCCCCGCCCGCACCTACCGGGGCTCCCGCACCGCGGCTGCAGCCGAGGCGGGGCTCCGACGGGCGGAGGACGGAAGAGGAAGGGGCGGGCGATGGGGCTCGTCTTTTTAACGGGGCCTTTTAAAGCTAGAACGTCCCCCCTTTGCGTTCTGCGCTGTGTGCCGTGCTGCGTGGCTTGGCTACCCTAGGCCTCGTACCCCGGGTCGTGTCGCTTCCCCGCCCTCCGGAGCCCAGAAACCCGCAGCTGCTGCCGCAGGGCCGCGGTGCCAGCTGGAAGAGCTGCAGGCGTGAGGACAGCTGTGCCAGCCCCATCCGGCTCGGCCCTGGTGTGGTGTCAGCACGCCGTGCAGAGGGGTGTTGTGTAAGGGAAGCGTTCCCCTCATTTCAGAAATTAAAGTCACCCTTTCATGCAGAATTCTTCAGGTTTTGGGCAGCCGAGGTTTGCGGCTCAGAAACGTCAGCTGTGTGCTGTGACAGCAAGGGGGGAAAACTGTGTGAATATCACTGGGATTTTAATATGTGTCTTTGTGTTTCAGTGTTACAGTTCCATGGCTTAATCCTGCTTAAATCCCCTCTTTATACATCATTAACAGAGCCCTTCTGCTGCAGAAAGAACGGAGGGCAAAAAGGTGATGGAAGAGCGGATGATCAGGATGAGGGCTGAGGTCCCCTGGTTTGGTCAGTGCAGAGAGGACCATTTTTGAATTTTGGCTTGAGATCTATCTTCAGATAAAAGAGTCGAGACTGTGAACTTAACAGCTTTCATTTGAATTGAAATATTTCGCTACAACTTGTATGAATGTACCCTAATAAACATATCACTCTCATCTTTTTCCTGCTCAGTGATCTCCTGCTGGTCCCCAGCATTATACAAATGCTAGTGCTACAGAGACCCAGCTGGCTAGGCCTAGCCAGCTTATCTCCTTATGTGAACAGAGACTGTTAATGGCATCCTTGGTTTTAACTCCCAATAAGCAAGTTGCTAACTGCTAAGAAAACACCCTCCTTTGTGAGAGGACACAGTTCTAGCCTTAGGTTATAGTTTTATGTGGAATTGCAGGACAGATTAGCAGTTTGCTGCCACCCAAAGGGAGAAGTCAGAGAAAAGATCTTACCTTTCCCACATCTTTCCCCTCTGAACCTCACTTTTTGCCAGGTCTGGCATTCATCAGATCTTTTCATGACCTGCTTTGAACTCTCTGTCAGCAGAAAACTTCCCATAGTGAAAACAAACAAACAGAAAAAGCAACCACAATCATTTTCTACTAGTTACTAACTTGAATGGAATCATGGAAAAGTCTGAAGAGTGACAAGGCAGTGAGAGGCAGCCAGCAAAAAAAGGAGACTAGAGCTTTATCTTCCCCTTTATCAGCAGAGAACTTTAATAGCCATGGGTCTGCAGCCTCAGTGTGAAATTCCATCATCTGCCAAAATTTATCATCTGTAATTAGGTACTGACACTCATCCTCCACGCAGAAGTACAAAGGAAAAGTGCAGATGATGAGGGGCTACTTCAGACTGTGCTCCATACTAATTAAGACACACTGACGATGGATTTTGAAAGCCTGCTTGTTGCTAGGACTCACTCTAGTGGAGAATTTGGATAAATGTTTGGATTGGTTTGTGAAAGGCACTTTCTGAAAGGTGCCTTTCCCAGCTGATGTCTAGTGGCCAATGGTTTCTCATGCAAATACTCAAGGCATTGGTTCAGTTTGCATTAATAGTGTAGGTTCTTTTAAATGCTTCATCATAAATGTGATTATGGAGAGTAAGATCCCAGCTTTTCTAAGCATCAGGCTGACATAATTCTGGTTTTAAGAAGCAGCTGCTACAGAATGGAAGATGGAAGAATGGAATGCAGCCTGTGTCTGTTGTACAAGCAACTCGTGGTCAGGGAGTAAGGGATACAGGCCTCTTTTAAATTAGCCTGCTAGGTGGTGCTACAGGACATGTTCTAAGTCAGTCATTCACAAACAGCGGCTCTATCTGAAGTTTTACCAGAAGAAATATCTACTCTTACCATTATTTGCCTCTCTAATTTACAGTTCTGTGAGTAAAGCCCTATTGCTGCATTAGCAAAAAGGTTGATGTTTTCGTTAAAGTACAGAACTGAAAACCACTGACTTCAGTATCTCTTAATACATGTGTGCTCTCGCAGTCTCCTCTGCATATGTGATCTTCAAAGTAAAAAATGGTCCATCGGTGAATCCACCAATCTGAAAGAGATATTTCTTCTCATAATCCCTTATTCCCTTCTGGAGTCTGTTTATCTGCCCTCTTATAGCCCTCTTTGGGGTCATCTTGCCTCCAGACAAACTGTAATGGGGAGCAACATGAAGAGCTGTGCAATGCTAGCCCAGTTTCATGCAGTGTGGTGTGTCACAAACACTTCTTCCTGTAATTCAGTTTCTGTAGGTGTTGTCAGATGGAGCACACACTGCAGGATTGTGGGACTGGGGAAATGTAGTGCAAGTATGACAGTAGAGTAACATCAACAGCAGAAAGAGAGGGATGAGTTTGCAGAGCAGGGATCATCTGCTAATTATTTACAGAACCAGCCTTGAAAAACAAGGGACTGGGCAGTATGGACATCAGGGGATTCTACAAAATTATTGTCAAAATAAAGAGGAAGATATGTTGTTTGATGAATAACAGGAAACATTAGAGCACAAGAGGTTCCTTGAGATGTGGTAGAAGATCTGGGGAAGATCTTGTCATGGAGGAAGGGTGTGATATGACAGCTTGTTTTTTTATGCAGCTACGTTGCCTGCCTTTCCACAACACTAAGTGCAGTGCTTCAGCAATGGTTTGGGGGACACATGAGGAGCAGTGCAAGGCCCTTAAACAAAACAAGTATGTAGACTGTACCTGTGTTGAAGTGGCTTACAATGACGCATGCTGGAAGTACTTCCAGTTAAAAGACAGCAGAGAGTGCACTGAAAACTGACATATTAAGTGAATGTTAAGGTTCTTGACAAGTGTTGAGGTCAAGACTTCATAGTTAAATAGTCATCTTACTTCACTAGTGGGAAAGAAAAGCTTGTGGCAAAATGGCTTTCCAGTCTGTCTGTCTGAGCAAGCTGCACATCTCCGTGCTGTAGCTAATAGCAAAGTGATGGTGGGACTGAAGTGTACAAAGGGTTGAGCAGGAGCACAAAGGTGCAGCTGCAGAGATCTCAGCAGTTTCAGTTCCTCTGGAGACGTCAGCAATTTCAGTTGGTGAAGAGGGAAAATATCAACCAATACTGAGGATGTGTCTTTGCATGTCCCACCCCTACTGTTCCTCTTATAGTTAAATCCCAAATGATCTAGTGCAAGCTCATAACTGAGCTTAATCTAGCAATAAACAAAATTCATAACTTTGAAGTGATAAGGTAAACTTAGCATTCATACTGTCTAGCTGATTTGGGAGACAGGAGACAGCTATACTCTAGGATTTTGCTGCGTGCTCAGATAGCACAGGCTAGAACCCACATTTCCCCTTTCATCAAGGTCTGGCAGGAATGGCAAAAGCTTTGCCAGTCTTATGCTGGTAATCAAAGCCACATGCAAAAAGTAGTAGGACAAAAAGTTCCCTGTCTCCTTGTTAAGCCTTTCCTGTACAAAAAGATGATCTGTTCCAACTCTTTATCTTAGTCCTTGAAAATAAATACATAGCTTGTACTACCTTCTCAGGAACAGTCGTGTAGGAAAGAAGGAGCAGTGAGAAACACAATTGTGGGAATAGAATAAAGAATCACATTTCTGGTCTCACATGAAGCCTTCAGGCTCCAGTATTCAAGCATGAGTAAAAACATGATGGAGTCATTGGAATGGGCAGGTACATTGATCAAAAAACATCAACAAGTCCTCAGAGGGGCTTGGAAGAGATTTTTTTTTCTCCCATATACAAAGCTTAGAATTGGTTGGGGATCAAAAGCAGCAAAGAAGGCAACAAAGAGGCTGTGAGGCAGTGGACCAGCTACATGGCACTGAGTTGTTTTCACTCAAACACTGTTGGCATCATATTTGGAAGTATTCCTCTACTGGTCCAGATCTACTTAAAACTCAGGCAGATTCTTTGTGGGAAAGGGAAAACATGCATATAATCATGTTTTTAGTGCTTAGCTTCTGCATTTTCAGATTCTGGGACCAAACATACCAGCTCCTTCAGCTCTGGCTGTAGTTAACAGAAGTAGAAAGGTTGATGATAAAGCATTCTGCATAATCAGAGATCTTAAGTGTAATCATTTAAAAAAAAAAAAAAACAACAAACTGATCTGAATGTACATTGCAATGTCTGCTGCAGCTAACAGACATGGATCCAGGTAAGCATAGATGCTGATGGAAAATTGGAATACTGGCAGCAGAGAACTGAGAAAGAAAGCCACTCGTAGATTCTGGGCACATCAATTCATGCTGGACTCCATAGTCTTGCAAATAGACTGTTGCTATTTAAAACTGCTTCAGATCTCTCCACGTTGTGCAGACAGATGCTATACCATATTGTATTTTAAAAGGCATTAGGCTCTAGTCATGTCAGTCATCGTGATACCGTTTGGCAAAATCAGAGCAAAACTCAGAAACATAAGTTGATTGTCTAGCCTGGGATTTCCTGTCAGTGCATATGAGCCATACTTGCTGTATCCAGGATAATTGCACATTGTCTGTAGCAGATAGAATCTTTATCTTCAAGAGCTCTGGTTCTATGATTAGCTAGCTGTAGTGAGGTACCTATAGTGAATTAGAATGTCACGTATCTTCACAATACAGCTACTTAGTGCCATTTCCCTTCAGACTTGGAAGGATGCTGTTTCTTAAAGGCAATACTATAATAATTAACAGAGTTAATCATTATTATCTAGTCTCCATAATAGTTACCCTTCCTGATACCCTTACTCCGAAATCAATGATACTCAACAGGAAGGAGAAATTGGGAATATGTCAGCAAGTCAGTCAGCCCAGGAAGTCACCAGGCACTGCTCTGCAGTGAAAAGACTTCACCAACACTGTGACTTTCCATCACTGCAGATGTATTTTCCTATCTCATTAATAACTGTGGAAGGTACAAACAGGATGTAGGCTATTCAT